AAATATCCACCACAACATGTCTTCCTTCGCCGAAACAACGGGAATGAACTACCTCAAGAGTCAGGCTATTGACTTCGTCAACTACAACAAACGTCAGATGTCACGAATTTATCCCAAAGGGACGAGGGCTGATTCGTCTAACTATATGCCTCAGGTAACTTTTTTTTTATATATAACAGGAGGCAAGAGATTGATGTTAAGTGATACCGCCCATGTACACTTACATTGCCACACTCGCGAGTGCGTTAACAGCCTTTAAACGCTCGTATCGAGTCGAATTGGTTTGAAAATACTTCAGTGAAAATATAACATTATTTAGCTATATAATAAATAACTTAAAACATTGATATGAGTCTCTAACCGTCAACGGCACCTCATCATCTCCATTTGGTGATGATGGAGCAGTAGATGCGAAAAACCCGTCCCAAGGTCCCGTCGACAGTTAAACTTTACATATTTTTTGTTATGTTACTATACTTCTGTTTGACTTAATAAATTAATCAGCTTTCAGGGAAGAAGTTATCAACAATTATAATGAATATGTAAAAACAATAAAATACAAATCCTGATTACAATATATACACATTAAATTTTTAATAAAATAGCTTTATGACGGTATATTTCATTTTATTTTAAAAGCTATAAATCTAACACAAATCTCTTTATACAAGAGATACTCGATTACCAAATTTAATTTTTTCAGGTATTCTGGAACGCGGGCTGCCAAATGGTGTCCCTAAACTTCCAGACCTCCGACCTTCCGATGCAGCTGAACCAGGGCAAGTTTGAATACAACGGGAATTGCGGGTATCTTCTAAAGCCGGACTTCATGCGTCGGGCGGATAAGAGCTTCGACCCCTTCGCCGATGCACCCGTCGACGGAGTCATTGCTGCTCAGTGTGCTGTACAGGTAATATTCGTACACATCGGTCAAGTTCTTTTTAGTTTTTATCATTTAGGGGTTTCGACAGGGGACTGATCGGGGACCTTAAAGCTTGCTTTTCTTTCACAACGAGTAATCAGTTAAAAAATAATTTCAATTTCTAGTCATGAATCTAGAGTATTCCAGATAATTTAGGTTTCATAGTAGTAAAATATGTCCAATAACAGGTCTAATATTGTGAAGTACATAAACAAAGATTTTAAAATGAGAGATACAGCCTAATATCTATATATTCGGCAGTCTTACTCTTACTCGCATTTTTTTTTATTTTACCTTAATTAATTATGCCTCATTTATTCTTTGAAACATTCATCTATACAGAAAATATACACTTAAATTTTTATACATCCACTCATAGAGTATATATAATATTAGAGCTCCTCCAATTGGCTCATTGGCTCTCTTTGTCTTAATCCTTTTTCTCTCAATCTTCTTTACCAACTTCCTTAAGCTCGTCAGCCCACCGTGCAAGAGGGTGGCCTATCTTTCTTTTCCCTGGTGGCCCTTTCCACCTTGTTACCCTCTTGGTCCATCTGCCATTGTTTATGCGAGCGGTATGGCCCGCCCTCGTTTATTTTACCTTAACAACAGGTCTTAATTTTAGTAGGGACGTCCCTTTATTAGATTCCTACTTCAGACATACTGACTTAAAGATATGACTATGAATAATTTAATTATTCTTAATTGTATTTTAACATTTAAATGCTAATTGTGTTTTTTTTTCATTAATCTTAAAGCTTTCTTTAAAAAAAGGATTTATTATTTATGAAAATAGCAATTCATAAAACTTCGTAGATTATCAATAGGTATATGCTAAATAATTAAAACATAAATATGGCTTTTACTTTGGTGCTTTTGAAAATAAATTGTATAATTGAATAGTCAAAAATGTTTGCAGGTGATAGCGGGTCAATTTTTGTCAGACAAAAAAGTGGGTACTTACGTAGAAGTGGACATGTACGGTCTACCCACCGACACCATTCGTAAAGAGTTCCGGACACGAATGGTGCCCGCTAACGGATTGAACCCTGTCTATAACGAGGAACCATTTTTATTCAGAAAGGTAAGTTTATCAACTTAAATCTAGATCTCAACTAGTTACTCGTATACGAGTAGTAAGACATATTAAATATTAAAAGCAAGAACCTAAGCGGATGTCACAACTTTTGAATGTATTTACGTGAAGAATTATCGGTGTAGGTATTATTAATAAATATTATAAACAATGCTTACGCCAAACTCCGTGAATGTAACTATTATTAGGAATTGAACCGTGTTTTCTTTGTACGTCATATTCACCACGGAGGCTGTGAATATTTATACAAAATATACATAAAATATACCTAAAGACGTAATTAGATATTATGTAGTCTCACTGTAAAAAAATTAATTTAAGAATTGAAATCTGTAATCTTGTTAATAAAAAAAACAGGCCAACCGATGGTCTGGGCATCAGATTTCGGTATCTGTTTCTCGATCTTTTGTAGGTGATCAGCCTTCAGTTCCTTATTTTGACTTTTTGGGTTATCCGGTTATCTATCCGGCTATAGGCTACAGGCTATCCGGTTTTCTCACGATCTTCTTTTCTTCACTTTACGAGCGATATTAAATTGCGCACTTCGACAAGAAAGTCCCTTCTTCCTGTGGGTCTAACTACGATCTCAGGCATGAGAGTCGCACGCTGATCCACTAGGAAAACTTTAATATTCTTAATCGTGGATAGTTATTTTGATTAACATTTGACCAGGTCGTACTCCCGGACTTGGCCGTTCTGCGTTTCGGGGTGTACGATGAGAATGGCAAACTTTTGGGCCAACGTATTCTGCCCTTGGACGGTCTCCAGGCGGGATATCGCCACATCTCCCTCAGAACTGAAGCCAACTTCCCAATGTCATTGCCTATGCTGTTCTGTAACATTGAGCTGAAGATTTACGTACCTGATGGCTTTGAAGGTAATCGAAAATCACCAGCAAGCTTACTTAATTTCAAAGTCAAAGTAAAAATTAACTGTAATGTAAAAGTTAGTTTAAAGATCTCATTAACACAATTATTTTATAAAAATAATACATTTTAGTGGTGATTCCACAATATTAAGTTTTCGTATCATGTATGGGTTTCGTGTTAAATGACGTCGTTAAGATTGTAATACCTAGTAAACTACATTTATGAATTAAATGTATCATGCTTTCCAGGCTCATATGTAAATTCACTATTAAAGTTAAGGTCAGTACTCACATACGGTATTACTCGATAGTTTTACTCGAAGTCGAGTAAAAATCAACGTGTGGACCGCAAAACTCACAGCTCGAAGGCTCGCACCGAGCCGGCTCGATGGAATTAAATGAAAGTAATTTCCTTCGAACCTACTCGAAGCGAGATGTCAATCTTGACTCGAACGTGTGACGTGACTGCGAGTGGCGCGAGGCGAGCGTCAGTCTGGTACTGTTTATCGTGATTGAAACACGTGTTTTTAAGAGCAATGGATTTGCGAGTTTATTCCAAAAGCGCTATAGAAGACTTTATGGAATGTCAAATCCAAAGATTACTCCCACAAAAATAAGAGAAATGAATGTTATGATAAATTACTAGCTGTGCTTAACGTTTTTTTCTTTTCATTTCCTTTAATTTTCTTATAAAGCACTGTGAGACTTGCTAAATATAGCCACCGTCTCCTTTGTTGCACAGACATCCTTTGGCTCGAACGGTTCGGTGAATACTGAACGGCGCGCCTTACTCGATAGATCAATGCTTAATGTGTGGACGAAAGCCCATGCCATGGGTTTTACTCGACAGTTTAGCTCGATCTAGTAATACTGTATGTGAGTACTGGCCTTTACTGATCTAATATCGTATCGAGTTTTACATGTTTAAAATTGGAGTTATAAATCTGCATAACACTTTCCGTGACACAGAAAGTGTGTTAAAATTTCTTCTGTATAATTATGATAATTGCACGCGTTTTAAGCCAGTAAAATTTTTGTTTCATATATAAGTTGTGTATAACTGCTAATCATTTAAGAATTAAAGATTATTAAAAGTGTAAATTATTAACAAAAATCTATATTAGATTTCATGGCGGCTCTGTCCGATCCGCGTGCTTTCATGGGAGCGGCGAAGGAGAGAACAGACAATATGAAGGCCATGGGCATAGAGGAGAGTGGACCCGAGAAGAAACCGGAGCCTGAACAGAAGAAAGAAGGTCAGTTTTTATTCATATTTTATTCAAGCCTTAGTAGTTGTGAGCTAAATATTAAAAGATTTTTCAATGAACTTGGGGGGGTTTCAATTCTTTGGAGATTATTGGAACCCCCATGTAACGCACCGTAACGTTTTTCTGTACCCAATAGTAAAACGTTTCGTGACCACCAGTGACTCTTTATACCTAAAAGTCACCATTATGTGGTGTAAAGTACTGGAAAGTCGATAATAACGCGTAATTCAATACCCGCCCCGCATCTTAACGTTTTACAAAAGGACTACCACCCCCAAATTCGTTACGTAATACGTAGCATTCAAGCTCCCTTATCTATCGCGGAATATTTTAAAAGAATATCCATAGCGCTAAATCACCTGCATCATGAGCACACCCCCACATACACCCTCACCTACATACCGTACTTTGACACCAACACACAACACAGCCGAATTAGGTAGTACTTTTTTTTTGCTAAGCTAGGAAACAAAGGGTAAAATTGGCAAATGACTACAGTGATGATGCTGTGTGTTGTGAGTATGGAGTGCCGCAGGGTAGCGTCTTGGGTCCAACACTTTTCTTTTTGTATATCAACAACTTGTCTGATTTAGATATAAAAAGCGGAAGATTATTCACCTTTGCGGATGATACATCTATTGTTTTTCACGGTAGAACTTGGGATGAAGCAAAGTTAAATACCGAAACTGGCTTAAATAAAATAGCAAAATGGCTTAACCATAACCTATTAACTCTTAATACTACTAAAACGAAATTCATTCTCTTTGCGAATACAGTACGATCTTTACCAACTGGAAATAATTTCAAAATTCAACTACACACCTGCCAATACAATATACAAAATAAATGTAACTGCACCTTTCTGGATAGAACCAAAACAATTAAATACCTGGGAGTGCTCCTAGATGAAAAATTAACATGGGTCCCACACATCAACTTACTAGCGGAGAGAATAAGGAGACTTATATATATTTTTAAGAAACTGAGGCACGTAGCGGATTACAAACTACTAAAAAATGTGTACACTGCACTAGCAGAGTCTATCATGACTTATTGTATCTCTTCTTGGGGTGGTGCCCAAAAGACCCATCTTATAAAAGTAGAAAGAGTACCACACCGTACCGTACTTAAAGTTATTAAATTTAAACCATTCAGGTACCCTACGGTCGATCTTTATTCAGAATGCGACGTCTTAACAGTCAGACAACTATACATAAAAAATATAATTATCTACCAACATAAAAAATTAATTTATGATGATGCCATCGCAAATAGACGAACACATAGTGTCTGTCCCACCACTCAAGCTAAAACAAGCTACTTACAAAAATTTCAATGTTATATGGGCCCCATATTGTACAATAGACTGAATAAAATTCTTAATATTTATCCCCTTAATATCTATGAATGTAAAATAAAACTGGTTGAATGGCTAAAAACTCAGAAATATAATGAAATAGAAAACTTGTTAGCTAATGTAAAATAATAAAATTTTCCTATTTAAAATATCTAACGTCAGTCCTAAGAGTGTGCAGAAATGTAATTTAAATATAAAATCTTAATACTCAATTTTAGTTTCCGTAATTATAATATAAAATCTTAATACTAAATTTTAGTTTCCGTAATTATATAAAATGAAATGAAATAGTTTTTTTTTGGGGGGGGAAAAAAAAAAATCTTTTTTTAATTCCCCCCCAAAAGGGGGGGAGGCCTCTTTTCCCCCGCGCGGCCCGGGGGGGAAATGTCGAAACAAACTCGGGGGTCTTAGTCTCTTGACATCTCTCTTTAAATTATAACGACAATAAATTCATATCTCAAATTCAAGTTTCTCATCCACAAGATTTAAAAATCTTTGTCGAAGTTCACATTTACTACGGTTTAACCAATTGCAACAACTTTTTTTAGATTCTACCCTCATTTAGTTTTATAAACAATAAAAATATAACCCGTATTAATATCAAATGACTATCTAACAAAACTTAACCAATTTGTTAAAGACACTGGAAGGAACTAGCGTTTAAGATACAGGCTAGGCCTAGTTTAATCGCTAGTGCACATAGAATTATTTTATGTACGAGGTTAACCAAAATTAATAGTGAGAACACAACGATCGTTGCATATTGCATGTTTATAAGATTTAGAATGTAAGTACAAAATGTAATTGTTTGTCGTCAAATAAAGTGGTTTTTTTTTATTTTTTTACTTAGTTAAATCTATTTAATAATTTTTAACTTTCGTAAATGACTGAAAGTTATTGCTTACATTACGTATTCCATCTTGGGCCAGTTGTTATATTTATGTTAGCTACAGGATTACGAAATATATAAATTATTAAATAAACTTATAAAATGTTTTAAATATAAAATAATTTACAATTTTTTCTTGTAAGTCGTTAAACTTCCGTTCATATCTGTTTATGAAACACGAATGTGAACTCGTCAAGGTAAGCGCAAAGTCAGGTTAATTTATTTATATACGCAAACCCCACAAATAGCTCTCATTTACGAACGCCTGGACTTCAGATTATCTGCGAATTATATTTGTATAATAGTCGGGCACAAAGCATGCGATTAGCGATTAGTTTAAAGTTCTGTTCCAAACTTTTGAAGCCAAAATTTTGTCTTGTTCAGAGAAGATTCTTCTTCTTATAGTGCCATCTCCTTGCGAAGGTTGATCATCATGAAGGATTATGAAGGCGATCATCATGGCTAGTTTAATTTTGGATGCCGCGCTTCTAAACAATGACTTGGTGCTTTGACCAAACCATTGTCTTAAGTTTTTCAACCAAGACGTGCGCAGATTTTTACACTGTCACTTATGTTCGTGACGTTCATGCTGCTTGCGTTAGATTGTCTTCAGGTTGTAATAAAAAGATACATGGTCATGATTTAAGCAGTTACACCGATTCAATTATAATGAAGTAGACCCTCGTGGGGTTCAACTGCACAGGCGCTAATTAAAGATTTGTTGGCACCTGGTAGTTAGTACCGGTGACCCCAGAGCTGGTGTTTTCCTCACTCAAGGAATATGTATGGCAATAGGTACAGCGAGGAAATGCTGCCAGTATTAAAGGTACATTGCCACCGGGACCAAACTTTTAAAACTTGTTTTAATTTTGTGTTTATGAATTTTTAATTATTACTATGTAGGTTAAGAATATTGTCAATACTGTATTTTGTGTTGTCTGTGTTGGAAATAAATGTCCATATATAAATTTAAAAAAATTATAATGAATAAAATGATGATTTTTCAGCCATGTTCGAAGATTTAAAGTTTAATATAAAGTGTTATCTACGTTAGCTATTCTCTTTTTACTTGTCTACCTAATACGTGGAATCCCCATCAAAGATTCCATTGTTAAACCTTCTCCCTATACAAAATCCCTACCCGCTATCTCCTGCAATTTAAAAATAATATTTAATATACGTTTCCAAGATTCATTTCCTATGCGTAGTCTGTGGATTGCAGTTCACTACACCACCGGTTTCAGTTTATTCACTTGTTAGTGTAATGTTAGTGAAGTGTACTAAATATGAATTGGCGAAATTGTAAAGGTATTTTTTTTATCTACTATAAATTTTATCGATGTTCACTTAGCTTTTATTTCAATTATAGGATTGATATCTGAATTGTTTTAATAATTAATCATGTTTTTTTATTCATAGCAAACTTTAGTAACTATTTAATTATAATTATCATATCCACTATAAATATCCAATAATAATTCAATTTGCATATTCTAATCTTTATCGTTTACATTGCGTAGTTCGGACAATGAGATGACAGTGTAAAGTGGTAAACAAAACAAGAGTCGTGTGTGTATATAAAAAAAACAAGTTCTATAGTCTATTTTAATTAAAATAAAACTTTCATACAAGTCTAGATTATATCTATATTCTAACTTATAAAGTGTCCGGTATTACGCCGAGTTTGCACAATTTGACACCGTGGAACCACGAGTTCGGAATTCTATTATTTTGAAACATTCACAGATATACTCTTACAATAATTATTATCAGTAAAACGATTGTTTTCAAAACTCTTTCGTTTTCATCGGAAGTAAAAATTAATTATAACTTTTATTGCAATGGATGATTTTATTTAGGTTACCCCGCGGTGGCGAACATCTTGTCATTGAACTAGTTTTATTAGCTATTTGGGTACGTTGCGCAGAGCTGCATATGACACCGTCATTTCACAGTAGGTACTTTAAGAGCTTTAAGGCAAGTCAGCACGTGATCGGATGTAACTATTTAATTATCCACAATGTAAAATACTTGTGAATAATTAAAATGTAAGACGGCATAATACAGAAATCATTGTATGACGATTAAGGCATTTTATATTTTTTTAAATGATTACAAATACTCTATAATGTAAATATAACGGCTATCGATGGTGGATGGTGTCTATTCTAGATTTGTGCACAAGCTAAACTAAATTAAATCCATACTGGAAATCCCTTAATTGCCACGAATTAATAAAAAGTTTATTTGATATGGGAATATTTTGATTACGCAATTTAGTCAAATAAAGGCATTTTAAATCAATTGTCTAAATTTACAGAATTTATTTTAAGATTCTACATCAGATAAATATGGTAATATTAAAAAAATAACAATGATTTGGAATAAGAACATTTTTAAAGAAGAGGATATAAAATGTTCGGTACGGAGAAAACTAAACAATCCCGAAAATTTTACAGAACCGCTGGTATTCGAGCCAATAACAGTTGAGTCCCTCCAACAAGACAAGGGCTTTCTCAAGACCAGCAAGAAGCAGCAGAAAGACTTGGAGGCGATGAGAAAGCGACACGCCAAGGAGAAGATGCTTTTACAGAAACAGCAGTGTGCTGCTATTGAGAAGATGATTAAGGGAAAGAAGTAAGGGTTTTCGATAAAAGAAATAATCATTAACACAATTTTATATAGATTCTTAAAACAAACATACCTGTAAAGTTCTGTAAGGACAACTTTTTGTCTCTTTTATTGACAATTTTCTAACAAATATTGTTCAGTCGGTAATAAGGTATCCTGTTAAGAAACACTTATCCTACTAATAAAGCGAAAGTTGGTAAGTATGGGTGGATGTTTGTTACTCTTTCACGTAAAAACTACTGAATGGATTTTAATGAAACTTTACAATCATAGGTATAGCTTATACATCAGAATAACACATAGGCTACAATCTATAATATAAAAATAAATCGCAAAATGTGTTGGTAAGCGCATATCTCAACAACGCCTGGACCAATTTGGCCAATTCTTTTTTTATAATATTCCTTGAAGTACGAGGATGGTTCTTACGGAGAGAAAAAAATAAAAAAATGCGTGAAAAAGTCTAAAAACAACACTTTTCTATATTCCCATACAAAATATTCGTATTAATACTTAAAAGTCAATTTGAACTTTAATACCATATCATAAAGTTCAAGTGTTAGTGGAGGGGTTCCGGGAAGGTACATTTTTATTTTTTGACATAATGTATTTGTTGTCTTATCAACTTTCTTTTTTTATCTTACTAGCTAGACCGGTGTCCCGAATAGTAGAATAAGTATTTAAAAAAAAAAAGTATAGACTGTTAGGCGGTACGATGTTCGCCAGGCCAGCTAGTTTATAATAATATTGTGATTGTTGTGTTATTGATATTGTCCAAAATATCAAGTAAGTAGGAAAAAATCTACCATCTGCGAGCTATTCTGGCGTGCGTTGCTGTAAGCCCACAACAGCGACTCGTGGGGGGTATTCTTAAGCTACTCGAAATACTAATCCTGGCAGACGAAGTGGCGGGCACCAGCTAGTTAAATAAATATGATTTCTAGTGAAAATTTGTCAATTTCTGTCTTTCAAGATAAACTAGTCTAAATGAACAATTCCTCGTTAATCTGTCCAGTAAAGAGCAGCTGACGAACGACACGACCTTTCGCACGCTCGTGACGGACCAGTCCAACACGTGGAGCGAGCTAGTCTCCCGCCACCGCAGAGAGGAATGCGCAGCCGCCAGGACCAGGCTGGACGATCAGCGGGAGCTGCTCAAGAAGATGATGGAGCAGACGCAGCTGGCGCAGATGAAGCAGCTCGAAGCCAAGCATGAGAGGTAACGAAGTTCATTTCACTTGTAAACATTTATTCTGAATATTTTTGTTATGAAAGATTCAAAGAAACTATCTTTTTTAGTCACATTTTAGTACCAGTTACAAGAAACTAACAAATTAAAGATATTTATAAGAATGTTTAATTTACGCTCAATATAAAAAAAACATTCAGAGAGAACTTATGGAGGCATGGTATTTTTGTGATATACTCCTGAAAATGTACATTGAAAATCATAATACTACTAGCGGACCGACCGATGTTGTCCTGCATGATATTTCAAGCGATTAGGATGTTAAACAAAGTATGAAAGTACCGACTGCAGCGCCATCTGCCGGGCTGATTCCAAACGCATACAAAATAATTCATTCCAATCGGTCCAGCCGGAGAAGTTAATTTATCAATGTTTCTACATAAAAACTATTAAACTCACTCAGTAACATTGACCTTATCCAAAATAATATAAATACAAATTTTCAGGGAATTAAAAGAAATGAACACTCGTCAAGCAAAGATCAGCGTCGAGACGAGTAAGGAAGTGGCCAACGATAAGACCTTAAAGACTAAACAGGAGAAGGACAGAAGACTGAGGGAGAAGAAGCAGAACAACATCAAGAAGTTTATGGACGAGAAGAAGGTGATTTCATCTATTAATTTTTATCCTAAAAGTAGAGTTTGATATTGTTGGAGTTGAATAATATTTCAGTAAGACGATCTATTAAACACAAAAACACGTGTGCATGTGTCATTTCACTCTGATCTTAATTTAAATCTGGTATATATATATAATATATAACTTCGGAATTGATTAAGTTTTTTTAATATCGGTTCAGTAGTTTTTGAGATTTGGTTATCCGCGCATTTTGATAAAACATAATATACTTAACTAGGTACATAGTTACAGGTATTTAAGTAAATTCTTTTAGATAACTTTTTGTACTATAGTGATTATTATTATTATCTATTGTTTTTCACATTTTAAAATAGGAATGTCGAAATTTAGATTATAGTCAGTAAATAATTATCCATTTCGCTGTTATGACTAGTCGCATTTTGATTTAAAATATCGACAAACTCATATTCCAGACTCAAACAATAAAGCAAAATCGCGAGAAAGAGAAGCTGAAGGTGACACACGACAAGCAGGTGGAAGAACTGGGGAAGGACATAGATAACGTCAGTATTTTTGATGACTCATTTTGGTTACTGCTTCCGTTGCTATTTGTCAGAACAAATCTATTACTAAAGTATTTCCGTGTTTGAAATGCATAGAAGATTGCTTCGTAATTAAAAACTTTCCCACAGCCCACTGCGGTATATGACTTTCCGACTGTAATTTATCATATTTTTTTTAGCTCATCGAAATGTACAAAATGGAAGAATCCGAGTTCGACATGGCGAGCAAAGCAGAGTTCTTAGCATGAAAGTTCCCGGACATTGCGCCTCTCATACAACAAATGACTTGACAAGTGACAAGTGATCTTTAATTTTAAACGTTATCAGTGCACTTACATTAAAAATAACACCATCATTTATGTACGTATTTCTGTTTTCCGTAAAATTACAAGAATTTATAAAAAAATTACTACGCCTACTAGTGACAAAAATAGGTTTATTTTTCAGAAAAATCATTATAGATTTACAATTTTATTAGATTTTAAATATTAGTTTAATGTTTTAATGAATTTAAGTATTTGTTTCAAAGTTCAAATATTCCTTTGGCAAATTTATTTATTGGTTTGTTCCTGTTACAAGTGGTTTTTGTTATGTTTATGCACTAATTTTTAAATATGTAATTAAGAATTATTATAAAATGTTCCTTCTAAACTGTGAATACTAATGTAAGTTAATAATTAGTTTTATAATTATTATAAAGGTAAAAAAACTATTTAAATACTAATTATTAATTCCACAATTCATAATTAGGAATTTAAAAAAAAGGTTAAAATGTTTATCATGCCATGCTTAGTAGTTTTTATCAACTACTTATTTTGGGAACATAGTTCATAAAAACATTAACCATGAAACATAGTTTTTAAAAACTTTATGAATTTGTAAAGTTTAATTGTTCTTTTTACGGGTAATAAGATCTAATATTTCAAAAATTATTTCATTAGACTTAGTGCGTAGACCCTGAAGACCCAAAATATTCATTTTCTTAATCTCTTATTTTGTAAGATAATAAATACATAATTGTAACTTAAATATTGTACATCTCACTGTCAATCTCTAACTTCATATTTAGTGGACCAACTATTAAAAAGTATAAATTTTCTCCTAATTTTTTAAATTATAAAATATTTACTAACAAATAATTTATCATAAGTACTTAAATTTTGTCAAGTACATTATCTAGTCAATTTTTATGAGCCAGTGACATGTTACGAGAATAATTTATATGAATTTTACCTGTTAACGTAATTGTAAAGGTTTAAAATCTTAGCACATAGTACTATAGTGAGAATAGCATAAGTTTTATTAGTTTATCATTATTGCTAAATTTATAAAATAGTTCGCTATTTTCAGGCCTATTTATGGGTGAATATTTTCTTTTATATAAGGTTAAGAAGTGTTATCAGTATTAGTGTTTAAAATTTTATTGCACCTAATTTTATTATTGCACTCCTTGTATTTTAAATATGGATTTAATATTATTTATCACGAGTTAATGTAAAGCATATATTCTAAACTACAATAAAAATTGTATGACTGTATGCAGTTGAATATTTTAAAAACTGTTGGACACTGAATTTGATGGCCATGTTACAAAATGTATAGAAACTCAAAACTAATTCAAATTATTGTTCGTAATTATTGGAGTGGTACAAGTTTTAGATTGGGAATGTGGGCCCTTAGTGTAAATTATGATTAAAAAATTCTTTATATGAAAAATAATTAATCTTGTAATATTTTCAATTACTTAAATTTAAAAGGTTTTATAAAATAGACATGTTTCCAAAGATTTATTTAATAGTTTACTAAAACTAAATAAATTATACTAATTTAGAATGTGTACACAATTTTTTTAACTCCCTTGATCCTTACTTTTTAATACTCCTTATTTTCTTCCTTTCCTTATAGAGACTTTCATGTTGGACTGAAAGATAAAAATCTAATATATTCAAGGATAAAAATCAAAATGTGGTAAAAATCACCTTTTGACATGCAAGACTTTCATGTTGTAAGAAGAAAAAACCAAAGGTCTAATAAGGTGATCAAATTTTTAGTGATAATCAAAGACTTGATCTACTACAACCAATGGTTATATTAATAAGTATTTATTATGCAAATGTAACTATATAATTCTTTATCCAAAAATGCAACAACTACTACAATATTTAATGTTTAGTATCTGCTTACATATTTTATAAATTGAGCTTATAATTACTTTCATTGTAATTGACAGTAAATCAAGTTTGATACAAATACCTTTTTAACTCAAATAAATAAAAATGATATACCTATCACTGTTATATATATATATATATAATGAACATTATATGCAAAAATATCTTTGTTTATAAATTTGTGCAATATTTTGACAAATTTGAGTATGGCAAAAAAATTTACTTAAATTCTTTGTATATAATAATCTTATAACTTATAGCTTAACATTACAAACATTTAATATTTAAGTTTAAAGACACACAACTAAATTATAATTTGATGTAAATTAAAATTTTGGATATAATTGCATACTTTTTCGTTAAGTAAAATTCACCAACACCTGAAATTAAGTTTTAAAAAAATCAACTATTTAAAAGAGAGTTTTTTTAAGAATTAAGTTATGTTTACTCACTATATGGGTCAAAGCGAATTAGTTCCAATTTATCCCCAAGCCGCTCACGTATTGAATTGAATTTATGCCCCGATACAACACTTTCCATTAAAACCATTATGTGTCTGAAATATATTTATACATATGAGAATTTATTTTGTAATATTTCTGCTGTTGTTAATACTCATGTGTTAAGACAGGTTATTTAACTTATTTAATACTTACTTGCTTTTAGCTTTCTTTAACAAAACATTCGTTAATAGCATTGTGCCTTAATTAAAGTATACGTATAATTCTAAATTGTACTTGAAAATTGAAATACCAAATAAAGCAATATCAATACATTGAATGGAAAGTGGAAACTAAGAAATAAGAATCAAAAAGTACAGGTCACAGATTAGAAATTAGAAAACAAAAAAATCATATCAAGAGAAATATCAATCGCTACTGCTACATTAATGGCTTGGCATCTGGCATATGTCAATTATTTACAATTATTCAATTTTACCACATTGATTAGTTTATTAAAATTTGGTCTATTTCTTGTTAGTGTATACTGGAGGTTCTACGATATGTATTATTTTGAAAATTTAAATAATAAATATGTTTTTAATTGATTCTAAATTATTTAGCGCTTCTACTGTTGCCGAGTTTACCTTGTATAAAATTAACAATTAATCTTGACACTTGACAGCGGGTACACTCTACACTCACTTAGCCACGTTGAACAAAACTCCACGATTCCAGACTGTAAAAAAGTTATAAAAACAAATTTAAATTGATTGGACTTCAAATTTAACACGTCTATTATGGTTGACTTATAATACATTCATTGAGCAAATAAAGGTTTTTCTATTTTTTAAGCAACGATAATTGATCAAAGTAAAGCAGATATCTCTATAAACTGGTAACATTTCAAAATACAAACTTGTTCAAGTTGTTCGTGTCCGTGTGCCGAGTGCGGACTGCGGTGTGATGATGAACTTGTGAACCGGCGCGGCGTTGTGTAGTTGGCGTTTTAGTTTGTGTAAGGTTTTTTGTTAGCCTTTTATTAATTTTAAATATCACAAATGAATTAATCAACTAAGATCAGTGTGAACTTTTAAGTATTTAGTTTTCTGTAGTGTAGTTTGTGGTAAATAAGAACAATGATAAAAAACGAAATGAATGAGAATGGCGGCGTCGACGCCAATGTGTCACCGACCAAACTCATGGTCAATTATATTCCGGAGCTGATGACACGTGATATGATGTATGCTCTCTTCTCGGCGATGGGAAAGATCGAGAGTTGTAAGCTTATAGCCAACAGAGGGTACGGCTTCGTCGAGTATGAGAAGCACGAGGATGCCGAGAAGGCGCGCGCTGCTTTTAACGGCCTCTTAATGCAGGGGAAGACTCTTAAAGTCTCATTCGCGCTCCTCAATCCCGAAAACAAAGTAAGCCATAAGCCGGATACAGAATCGAATCTCTACATCAGTAACCTACCTCCAGACATGACTTTGGAGCGGCTCAACAATCTTTTTAATCAATTCGGTAATATTACTAATAGTCGCGTCTCGCAAGGGATCGGTTTCGTGTGCTATGAAGCCAGAGAGCAAGCAGAGGATGCTATCCACAACCTGAATGGTCAGACACCCATTCCTGGTGCGGGACCGATTGTAGTCAAATTTGCAAATAAACCCAATGCTAACAAAACTGTAATGAGGCCCATTCAGAGAATTGGCATGTCAGCTGCACCCATCGCATATAACGGTGCGACGGCTGTCTTTAACGGCACTACTCCAGCATTTAATGGTACTAACTTAAGCGCAGCATTTGGATCACGACCAGCCGCATTTGCACCTGGCTTTCCCCAGGCTTCACCTCCTCCATTATTACCGTCACCTGGAAAAGCTCTACCTTTTATAAATAAAGGCCAACAGCGCTTTAATCCAATGGCTGCAACCAATCACACACCAATACCATTATTGGGAGCTCCGGCAAGTCCTGTCCCTCTCCTAGGTACAGCTGCAGTTCCACACCAAACAACAGTGTATGTCTACAACATTGGCGAAGACACAGAAGAGCTAGCACTGTGGCAGCTCTTTGGCCCATATGGTGCAATAGATTCAATAAAAGTGATCAAGGATCCAGAGACAAAGAAAAACAAAGGTTTTGCATTTGTCAACATGCGTGAGTATGATGAAGCTGCTATGGCTATCCAGGCCCTGAATGGATACACGCTCAATGGACAGGTTCTTTCTGTTAGCTTTAAGACGCAAAAGAGAAATAATATTTAGGTTAACGGACGTTATAAACGCCGTTTGTGATTGTTGGGAGGCCCAAAGCTTAAAGATTTTCATTCCAATCTCAAGAATATTTTTGTAGTCGAGACGTGAGATCCTCTATGTGCATTTCAAATTAGTCACATAAGTATTTTTGTAAGATTTAATATAGTTTTCTACTGGCAAGAGCGCAACATGACTACCTGTGAGTAGAGTTGGCTTAACATTATCTTATATGTGTACTTTATCATATGATATGGTATCTTATTATTTGACTATGTATGGCCCTGTCGAATTGTATGTATTATGGTTGGAGCAGGGATAGCCTGCCTGTTGCCCTCTCCGCCTGAACCCTCCAGGTATTTTATTTTGTGTAAACAAGCATTGTATGTTTTTTTTAATCTTTAATAAACTTCATGTTTAAATATTGTGTATTGTATATTTCTCTATTGGTTTTCTATATTCGAATCCTCATCCCACCCCTATCTACGTATAATAATATACATAATATTCATAATTATACTTAATTATTATTTGTGGCAGTAGTTAACATTTACATTATACTAGTATTTTATTTGTATTGTTCGACGGCAGGTCAGCTGTGTAAAATTGCTTGAATATTGCATGTTGTGTAGTAGAGAACGAAAATAAGATTTTATTTGTTTATATTACCTCAGTTTTATAGCCACCATCATTGTGTACGCCGACATTAGTATTTTTTCTATTTAAACAATCTTTTCGCTGTACGTCACGCTAAAATAACGATCACTAAACCGTATTTACGAAAACCAAGTCCCCCATATCTGATGGTGACTTTAGGATGTGTTCACATTTAAAGTTTTTAATAGGTTTCACAAAACGGTAGAAATGCTAATAATTAATTCTGAATTGCTGTAGATGCCTACATAAGAAATGTATATTATCGTGGCGTGTTTGCGCTCCAGGAAAAAGATTAGATATGAAAGTACAATGGTAGAAAAGCCACTATGACTAATTCAAATTACTGCCACAAATCAACATAAAAAATATTGTCCTTAGAATTAAATTAAGTCCATGGCGTGGCTAAACATCGTTGGCGATTTCAAATCATATATTATGTTCAAATTTAAAGTGCAGCGATAGGCTATAAAATATTGGAAACCACGCGTATCGTTAACGTTCTTTACAACCTACCTATTAATAATAAATATTTTAATTTCATGGCAATATTTGCGATAAACGTACAATAATATAGTTATAACGTAACATTTACAACATTTTGTTGAACTAAACTGTAATCAATATAGAAAGATAACAGTTGATAATGCCAACTAATACAGTAAAAAAGATCTAACAGTCCACTGGCTGAATATATTGATTTTCCTTTTCATACTCGGTGGAGCCGTCGTCTCATCTGTCCTTTTCAAGGTCATTGGCTATAAATATTCGTCTGAACTTATGTCGACGACCTTTCCTCGGCTTAGCTCTTCGGCGCAAACCGTCTCGATCTCAAATACTTATAAGACTGATTACTTTAACTAAATAGGTTTTCAAGGATGTCATGACACTAAGACTCTCTTTTTATTTAGTTACTACAATGGTTTTGCACATTGATTAATATAATGAATGTCTTGTGATCAATAAACTGCTTCATTTAATAAGTCAATTTATTCTTGGTCGTTGGAAACGTACATTAAATTTAATATCTTATGTAGACTAGTGGTGTTTATCATAAACTTTTTTAATATGAATGTTTTTCTGAACACCGTAAAACACATCGCAAAACTGTTTTGACGTGTCCTTCTCTTACTGATAAATCAATGAACAAATATTCGGAACTTATTTGAATATACCTCCCGTAGGTCAGACGTTTGGGTTTGTCCTAGTAATATCGGATAAAGGTATATTTGTGGATAGTTGTTTCAAATTGTTTTCCAACGTTATTTTTGATGGACTTTTTTTTTCGACGATATCTATTATCACTGAAACAATACGATAGTTTGAATTGTTAAACCCATTTTTTTTATTACGATACGCATGTAGTTAAATTGTATACTTAATACCAATGTGGTAAAATATATAATAATGAACCGAAATTTGTGCCGTCTGCGCTCATTGCTACTTTTGATCGAGTTCCGTGTCTTAATTATTGTTAAAACGAGTTTTCAAACAGACTGGTGTTTCGTGAAATTTATTTAAATTGATAAGCTTTTACGTAATCTAGGTAGAGGCATAGATTCTTCGTTGAAACGGTGCGTAGACTATTTATGGCAGGAACAAAAACAAGTTTGCTTCGGTAACATGCCTATTTGTACAGTTGTAACAATAGCAGTTTAGATCGTGGTCAAAATATAGGGGAATATTTTACCACGTCACAGGTGTGTTTAGGATCTGTTTAATTGAAAAACCATCTAATAGTGCAACATAGCTGTTATTTCGTTAATACCAAAGTTGAACATGCCGCTTTGACTAGTTGATTTCTAAGACTTGTGGAGTTGCCAACAGGCACGACTACTAAAAGGAAGGAAGGAATTAAATAAGCTATAAACTATTCTAGGACGCACCGTAATTTAGGACGATAGGAAAATTTAACAATTGATCAGTCTCAATTTGATGTTTTTGCAAAAAGTTCCGTTGCTACCTGACTGTTCCCTTTCGCTCGGCGTCACGTTATGTTTATATGCAAATGCTTTTCTATCTATATTCGTATGATTCGTGCATTGTTGGCATGGCAAGCTTATTGATTATTATAAACTTTCGTTTAACGAAATATTATGTTTATTTAAGTATAGTGTACACTTGTGTATTTTGTTAAATATTTGAATACTTTTCCTGTATTGACTTTTGCATACTGACACACTCAATATTTAGCCTGAAAAAACATTTATGATGGCATCTGACTTCATTTCATGGAGGTTTACGAGCTTCCAGAACTGTTCTGTTCTATTGAGTTCTGGAAAACATTGGTCTGAATCTTATGAAGATTTTGGTAGTTTCATATTAGATCGTATAAGTTTTAGTAAAAATTTCGATAATACTATATTATGATAAATCTTCGTTAAGTAGTTGTTTTGGCAGCGATCCACGAGGCGCTAACAAAGCAACCGTTGATGAGGCGTGGCCGTTCAACCGTGGAAAATAAAACTTAGTATCCTTTTCTCAAAGAAAACATGACAGTTTTATGTTCGCTAGCTTATTTGTTACTGTATGGAGGTCACATAATTAGACATTTTTGTTCCACTTCACGATCTCCAGATTATGCTGAAGACCGACAAAAACCGTCCATTAATGTACGGAGGGTTGACTTTTGTATTTTTCTTTATTTTGTAATGTTTTACGGTATATTCAGTAATAACGAATTATTTCCTTAACAAGAAAAATACCACAAAATTTTAAAGGTACTGTCGAAGATATGTTCCACTAGTCATAGAAATTTATGAATATATAACTTATACTTTGTGATATATTCGGTTAATATTATTTAGATGATAGAATAAGAGGTTAAAAACCAAAATTACTAAACCAAATGGTTTGAAACTAGTGATTAAACGAAGCTTCACTTATTGTTTAGATCTAGACATTCGTAAAAGGACAATTGTGATAAAAATCATTGACATTTTTCTTTGAGACGTGTACATAAATAGAATATTAAGACACGATTTTATAAGTAAATTTATATTTTATATGTGCACTACATACTATAATTATGCAGAAAATAAATTGTTCATTTTATACTTTAGCAAAATGTTTTATTTTCTCGAAACCTCAGTTCCTATAGCAGGGAAATAAAGTATTTAATATTTCACCCTTGGTACAATTAAAACAGCATTATTAAACATTGCACATGTTATTACTTTCTATATTTTGCCTCCAATGGAAACCGGAAAAATCTTGTGACCTTGACAATTAACATGCAGGCTATAATTGGCAGTGACCAAACAAATGCACTAAATGCTACACAGTGTACAAATATCAGCTAGGTGGCCAGTCTGCCGATTGTTTACGGAAGTGAGGGTTAAATAATAGTCCAGAGTAAAAAGCTTATTCTATTTTATTTGTCGGTTTAACGTACAGACGTAAGGCATTCTCCCAATACATTGGCACACAGAACCTTCAATACTTTCGCTCACTACGAGCTCGATATCACCCCACCATGGAATGTTTAGTTCAAAATAATGGAATGCCCGGATTTGCACTCTTACACAAAGAAGACAGTTTCTATGATTTAAGTAAGAATTTAGCATCTTCTGAATAGATCTTTACTAGAAATTCAGATTATTATATTCCATTAGATATGAAAAATACAACGTCTTCAATGACACAGGTAAAGAGCGCAAAACCGTTGTAACCAAACAAAACTAATAAAAAGTAAGACTAGACGTTTTAAGTAATTGCGCCGTGAATATTTACAGTGTTTCGTTTCGTTTCGTTGACTCGAGAAAACAATTTGTGACTAATCTGAAACTTATAATACGAGAGATTCTTAACATAATTTGGTTAGGTTTTGGTTTGTACTAAATAAATAATTCAAAGCGCAATATTGGCACAGACAAGCTCAAATTACGCGCTACTTAATGATCAAAATATATACATATAAATAATTTCATGATTGAAATACTGTATCCAATACTGTTTCACGACGTTATAAATAAAAATAATGGACGCAAAAAATTCCCGCATATTGCACAAATAAAACAGCGATATTTAAATCACATTGCATAAAGTCTGTCATAATACAAAATATAATAATGAAAATGCCAATTCCTGACCTTCCACACTTCGCCAGCAAACATGAGGCACTGGTTTCGCTAATCATATCAAAGCTAATTTTTATATTACTTTTGATATATACCTTACATTTAATTACGCTAGTGAACAATCTAAGCGATCGGTAGTCGACGCAAATTTTCAAATTCCTCGATCATAAAAATATCTCTTTCGCTCAATATTAGCGACTTCGGTCGATCACAACTCGTAACTCGTCAAATCCAACATTTACAGTACAAAATGCGTACCTAATATCGACTTTAATATCAACGTATTGTCACAATGAAACTATTAGAAACGTGTTATTTTGTTATTACTTATTTATGTAATTAAATATACAGTAAATTCGTTTGTTTAATCCAAAGCCTAAGGGAAAGCAAGTCTCTTCTCACATGAAGGAAAAAAGCGATTCGGTAAAAACAAACAATTTGAATATGAATAAAATAACACGTTTCAGCAAAATGCATCTTTTATGATGACGCCGACTAGTAACTTCGATTTTCACCTAAATATAACTTGAATACAAAAGCCATTAAGAGTACGCAGAGTGGCCGATCATGCCATAGCCACCGGAGTGAGAAGCTCATTCCATATTGAAGGCACGGATATACGCCAAAAATTACCTGAACATTGTCGCTTATCATAAACATACAAATTCATTAAAAATTTACACATTTTTTTATTCAATGAAATGACATCACTCTAGTATCTACGGCTCCAGCCAAACGATATTTCAGTAAAAAATATCAATACTTTGTACAAAATGCGATATAGTTTTAAATATACACACGAATATAGTTCTACATACCTTAACATATTTGTACTATTTATTAAAAAATCTTAAATGCCAGTTAAATAAATGAAGCTTGTACATTGCGTATTTACACTGTACACGTGTGCCTGACAAATATTCGAGTACGAGGCGACCGTCTTTAAATAAATGACACGCTAAAAGGGTTTGAAAGACAGATTTCATTATTTCAACTCTGCTTCACATCACAACTCTGACGATAAAACATTTTACTCGGTATGTTTTGAAAAATCTATGATTCAAACAACTTTTCAGCATCCAATATGAGTTTGCATATAAATCATTTATCTTAAAATCTCAAAGACCATTCAGCCGCCAAATCCTAAACTTATAATCTCATATACATTCATTTCATTGTCAACATAATTGTTTCACTAAAACACAAATTATACATTTAACGAGAGTTTAATACACATCTTAAAGTTCACAATCGCGGTGAGCGAGTGTAACGAATCCCAATTTTAATGGCATTTAGTAAGTGCGTGTGTAAAACATATTTTATTGTGAACTAATAAAAGCGTGACCGATATCATTTTCTTATAAAACTTTTCTACGCTTAGTTTTTTTGTAAAATATTTTCTCGAAAATCGGAACATTGACGACAATCAAATTCTTAAATATTAGTTCGTCCGTCAGCCATTTCTGATACCTAATCACGTCGTTATATAAAAATTAATCTAAGAGATTACACTTCAAATATCGTGGCAAAAAGCCATGAACAACGTTCAATAATAGCACAGGGTCCACCAAATGAGTCAAAAACGTGGAAAGCACAAACCGTATGCGAGTAGAGAGAGAGAAAGAGAGATATCTCCGAGACACCCTCGAAAGCGAGGCCGAAACGTCGTCCGACGCACCGTGCGATCGTGTATCACACGAGGTAATCGTCGAACTTCGTGAGCCTTCGCTACGAATGCCGAGAGCCGCGACGAACCACTCCTTCTTCCAGCGCTTCGGGACTGAATCTGTAAGACACGATTCACATTCAAGTCACACTATTTTCACTAGGAGATAAGGTAAGTGGAACTTTTAAACACTAACTCGCAAGTGGTACTAACCTGACTCTAGACTGCGACCCGATGGAGACGTCCCTCGCCGAAACGTAGGAGCTGTCCGTTTCGCTGGTTAAGCTATCCGGCGGGGTGGGGTTGGTGGGGGTCCCTCCCCCGGAGCTGCCCCCCGACGCCGACGACTTCTTGTATTTTTTCAGACTGGACCTTAACTTGGTGGGTGCCAATTCTAGCCCCAAATTCGCCGGTCTCTCGGCTTCCTCCCGATAGAAATCCCTCGGAAGGGAGTAGTCGTTCTTTCGAGGATACTCGCCTTTGGGGCGATAGTCTTTGGGGTACTTTTGGAATTTGGGGGAGAATTCTTCCGGGTGCGAATTGGACGCGGAGGAATTCGACGGGGTCCGTCTATGTGTGAATCGGTATTCGGGGGTCGATTCCCGGTATTCGAAGGAGCACTCGTCGTACCCGTAGTACGGGTGTTTGACCACGTAGTCGGCGGTTCTATCGTAATAGTCCGGTCTATAGAAGAAGTCCTGTCTCTCTTGGGAAGGGGAAGGTTGGAAGTTTTCTCGGTAGTTCTGGTACAAATCGGCTAAATGATCGGATGTGGAGGAGGTTCTTCTGGGAGAGGGAGTCGGTTGGGTCGAAGTGTAGTTGGTCCCGAGACCGGAGGTGCCGGAGAGCGGTTGAGCGGAATGGCCGTAGCCAGAGGAAGAGGAGGGGTGCGCGTAATGCGTGGGAGAGTCCGTGAATCGGAGGGGCTTTTGTTCTTCCGCTTGAAGGCTTGATATCTGAAATCAAATTGGAAAATCTAACTAATAGCTAAGTCTGTCGGGGCAGCTCCTAAATAAATGCTTCCAAGTTTCGACAGGTCAAATCAAAAGAGATATTTGTACTACTCACGGGGTCCGTTAGAGCGTTGAGCGGTGCTCGGACATGCCTCGTAGGTCCGTGGTAGGTGTTGTGCGCGAAACCGAATCCCTCGTACACTGACGGACTTAGCACGTCAGATTCCTCCGCTCTGAAAACATTTAAAATTACAAAATAAGAAAAGATTCAAATCCATACTATTTAATTTAATGAAAAAAGCTAAACCTTTTTTATAAATATTTTGATTAACTAAGTGAACTTTGGTCAAATCTTAAACTCCCACTCAAAATAACTTTATTCATGTAGGTAACCAAGTACACTTATGAACGTCAACAGAAGAGATATCAAATTGATTCTAAATTTGCATTTACTACCAGTTCGCAAGTCAAGGGCGTAGAGCGGGCGAGAAACTTTCCGCCACTCTTTTTAATCGCTAAGTTTTGAGTCATATAAATTGTTTGAACTGGAGCAAATCAATCCCAAGGATTAGGATCATTTAAGTATTCGTCAAATTTATAAAAAGCTTTATTAATTAATTTACGTTTAAGGAGAGTCTTGAATTTATTCAGTAATAGTTCTCTAATTTCGCTTCGGAGTTTGTTATAAAAGTTCTGATTCGAATATTATACTACTAAAAGTCACCATTTGTTTTAAAATCGTTTATATTTTTTTGGACATACCACAAGGCTTCAAGAATGTATTGACCAAATAGTGTTATAATATTAAATTCCTTAAACTTATTCCGTACCGACTCCCTCGGAGAAACACAACAAATACCCCGAACAGCCCAATAATATATACATACCACATAAAGGTAGTAAATATAATGTATGCTAAATTTAAAGTTATATAACTATCGGGACGAATGGCGGAACACTGAACAGAATGACAAACACACCTGTGTGGCTGTAAAGTAGGATGTAGTGGGCTGACGTTAGAAACTCTGACGTCATATCCGGCAGCCACGCCGCCCAACAACGCCGCCATATTGTATAGAACCAGCTCGATTATACTCGGCTTTTTGAACTTATAACCTGGAATCAAAAAATATATTTTTAGTTTTAACTTCACTAAAGTTAAATAAGTGAATTCAGAATGCTTTTGAACATACCTTCCGTACTATAAAGAGTAGGCATGGGTATCGAATACCTGGACGACGTACTGAGTGGGAACTCTGGACCCCACTCGTCCGGACTGAAGTCTGTGTAAGGAAGAAAACAACCTATGTGAATAGAAACATAGGCATTAGACTAGGGGCGTGCTCACGACATCTATATTAGCAATTAGCATCGATGTGACAATAAAGTAATTCGAGAAGTTTTACATTAAAAGGTTCATAAATTCAGTCTTAAATTACCGTTTACCGTTCATAAAAAGCGCTCAAATTTTGGAAGATAGACAAGATAGAAAATAATTGTCTATTACGAAGTGTAGTTCTTGATTGCCCTATTCTATTTATTGTACAAGTCTACATCGATGCTTCATTAGCAATTTATAGTATACATTGTGCAATGATATGAACGAATGTCTGCAATTGATGAGCTGCGAAATTCTAATTCAAATACACATTAATAACTTAATTGTTTTAACACTATTTAGTTACACTTTATATTACACCTAGAAGTTCAAAGATGCGATGTGAATAGTGCGAATAAAACGCGTGTAAATATCTACGCATGCCACACAGTTCATAAGCAACATAAAAAGCAATTGCCTCTTAAAAACACAAATTTTTATTCTCAATTTGGTTATTTATTTGCGTTTCCAATCGAACTTTCAGTTTATCGTACGTTCATATATAAAATCCTCAACACACAGAAATTTGAAGAGAAAGGTTGACAATTTTCAGTTTGAATTTCCAATTATTTTACAGAATTTTAATAAAACGTAGAATATATTTCGATTACGATAAACTGACTCGAGCTAAACTAAAAAAAAAAATACTTACATTTGCAAATGAAATCATGGCGCGATCTCTCTTAATTGTTATAATGTTATCCTCCATCGATTCAGTCCCGATTAGAAAAGCTAAGCTCCTTTTCCTTCACCTCTCTTTGTATTTGTCAACGAGACAGTCTCTTTGTTAAGGGTAATGTTAGCTTTATTAGTAGACCCATGTTAAAAGAATACACCAGACTCGATTTTATGGAAAAGGTTTATTGATATATAAAGAATTAAGTATAAACTAAAGAACCGGATCACCAAGAGATTTATTCGATTGCCCTAACGGTTTAGCTTCGGCCGGGGAGAGTCGGCGGAGGAAACATCAGTCCCCGGTCTCAAATAGATTTTACTGAAATTTCGGTGTGACTAGGTGGGGCAGCAGTTTAAAAATCATATCATCGCTGTTAAGTTCCCTCCGTCGACTCGCAGCCGGCCCTCCGGTGACATTTCGACAATTTCTGAGTCTAGGTCCACCACCACGGGAACGTGTTATCGAATGTTACAACGGAAATTTTGTACTATCTTACATTATCCTTTATCCTACTCTACTCTAGCTTTGAAAGGCTGTCCGACGTCACATACGTCGATCTCGGAACGCGGAATCGAACAGGCTTCCAGAAACCGAGAGGCCATTGTAAACATTTGAAAGCGTGCCACGATACGACGAGGTGAAGAAGCGATGTCTAACGTAAGTACAAAATACATAGATAATAAACCGTACCGTAAATAGCGGATCGAACTGATAAGCATGCATAGCGTAAAACAGGCTCAAGCAAACAAATGCTTACAATTCACAAAACAATAGAAAATTACAAAATCTACTTAGGCTACGACACACAAACATCTCGAACCTTCTGCCGAACTAAGGCTTCGCTACTTTTGTGACTAATGACAACTTCTCAATTACGTTTTCATTTCGAGAATATACTTACAAGGGTACGGCAGATTGTCTGACGATCCTTTAGCGGCGAGAAAAAAAATCAGAACAAAATTAGTGTCGCCGATACGACGTAGAAACGATTTTTTTTTTATTTTTTTACTATACGACATCTCTACGCGCATCGACTCACACGTTGGCAAGAACCCTAAAAAAATCAGTCGATTGAGAACTATCAAGTCTTCTAGAGACACACCTCACAGATCTAGCGTCACCGTCTCTAACCTAACCTAATGAACCTAAACCTAGGGAATCGCCGGCGACGCTTCGTAGGATTTTGTCATAGAAAAATATCGCTATCGTCGCCGGCGACTCGTCTTACTCTAGCGTATCTAATGTCGGAATAAATGCTCTATTTCAAATCACTATTCTCCGATTCGCCTCGATTTTTGGAATTCACAGGGTGAAGCCGATAACTTAGAGAACACTGGTCCTTAACTAAATCTAGCCTAGGGAAAAATAAGTCTTTTAATCTTATAAACTTAAACTAAATCGAATATTCGAGACTCATTCGTCGGGAACCCGTCGAGGAACGAGTTCGGTCGCGATAAAGGCGCGTCAGACGGCCGATCGCGGCGGACTCATTCGCGAAAGGGATACGACGTGACGTCACTCGTCCCTCAAGAGCTCCGTGGTGTCCGAGGACAGGCTGCCGGCCACGGCGAGGAGGCCGGCGAGGCTGTTGGACCGGATGGACTTGAGGAAGTTCTTCTTGATCTCGCCTCGGGGGCCCTCGCGCCCTTCGGGGAGCCCGAAGACCGTGTCGTAGTGGGGGATGTCGGCGGCGGAGGTGAACATGGGGCAGAGGAGGAATCGGTTCCGTCGCGGTTCGTCGTTCTCGTAAAGCAAGTCGTCGTGGCTGCCGCTTCGTTTCGCGGCTAGGTCGGTTTTGGGCGCGCGCACTTGGGATTTCGATTTGCGAGGCTTGCGCTTCGGGTGCTCGACCGCGCTTATTATTAGCCCGGTCCGATCCGCTTCTTCGTGTGGACAAAACTTATATTAGGTGGGCCTTCGCATACCTTCACACGATACTTTATAAGTATATGTAAGTTTATCCATAAATTTCTCTGATTATTCCAATTTGGGAACGGTCTATATTTCGTCAAAATCGGTTCAGTATTTGTACTTGGCAAACGGCACTTTTTTCTGTTGGCGTTTTGATAAGTCTGAATGAATGATAAATAAATCTACTCACCGGGATGCCGGGCGGGCGAGGCGCGAGCGGGCGAGAGGTGGGGGGCGGAGGTAGAGGCGGAGGGGCGGTGGGGACGGGCGCGGAGGGCGGGCAACGGCAGGTGCGTGCGCGTGCGCGTGTGTCCGGTGGACGGACCCCACGTCTTGCCTTTCACGCCGTCCGCTGGCACTGCGAAGCGATTTCAACGTTTTTTTAAATATCTTAATATTTATTGAGAAGTAGAAGCAAAAACTCTCCTAAAATTGGTAATTAAAGAACATGAAATGGCAGAGATATTTTAAATTATTATTTTTAACTTAAGGTTATTTATAAGATTTATAGCTAAGATTATAGCTTTCTATATATCAACAAAAACATAAGATTATTTAACCTAATCAATCAAAATACGTTTATTCATATTTACAAAATTCGCGAAAGAGCAAGACTACGCCATCCGTTCGCAAAACTACCAGGAGGCCTTGTTCTGATTATTATTGTTAATCTTTGGGCAAAAGTTTATTGTTATCTCAGTCTATGGCAATTATTTCCTACTAAAGAATACTCACGAGCGATGGCCCGCATGATGGCGGGGGATCCGGGCGGCGTGTCCTTGGCGACCGCGACTAACTGCTTCACGCTGGCTTCGTCGTTGGGCCTCACGGTCAGCGTGTGACGGAAGTCCAAGGGCGAGGAGATCGTGTCCTTCTTTAGCAGACGGATCTTGCTGAATTTGCCTGAAAATTTTATTTTTGAAGTGTACAATTTTTAAGGAAAGTCACGAAGATGAGCAGAGTTTTTGTAGAAGAAAAGGGAGAGAGCGATTGAGACCGATTGAGAGAGAGTGAGAAGGGTGAACTACCTTATAGAAATTATATTTTTTATACTACTTAAACTACTAATATTTCATCATGAGAATTGATGAAATATTAGTAGTTTATTTTTATTCAAAACAATTTATTGAAATCTCAAATGACACATTGTAAATGAAAATGCCACGTGTTTTTAGTATCAAAGAAATAACTTAAGAAAATTAAATTCATTATTTGAATTAATTTTCGACACTTAATATTTTAAGGACAATATAATTCATTAAATTTCTAACATATTTTCCTTTTTCCCTCCCTCTAAGTCTCGGAAATCTAAAGTTTTAGATTTGTATTAATATGAACAAGAGTTAAAAATCAAGCCGTACGTTCGAATGAGCACAGTGCACAAATGGAAATTTAATACTATATGCGCAGTTATGACTTGCTCCCTGGCGAAGGCTAACATAGGAAATCGGCCTGGACAGGAACCGGGTCTCAAACCCAAAAACCGAAAACATGTGTCAAACACAGAAGTCCCACTTAGTTGTCTATGAAATTTTTTAAATTATCTAAAAAAATTCGAAAATTTTATATTTTCGGCAATATGAGGTTAAAACTCATATAATTGTAGGGTTACTGGTTATCTATTATTTAAATTAACGATCCCTCAAGGACTCTATATATTCCAATAGTAATTAATTTTTTATAAAGAGTTTTTTTTAAACATGATATAAATGCATCACAAGAATTAATCTTTTAAACAAAATTATCCTTTTATAATTTTGATATATTTTAAAATGACAAAAATTGGTAAAATGCGTGCATATGATCCTAAACATGAGTGAAGTACCTTTCCGTTTGTTAGGCTGCGGCGGTTGTTGCGACATATTACTAGCGAATATTAGTATGTGCAATTCACGAGCTGCCAGATCGATCTCTCTCATCTCCAACTCCCTCTCTTTCTGCGCAAGGTTCTGTTCTACCAGCCTCTGCTGGAGCTGGGCTCTGGTGAGTTCTTCTTCGCGACATCGAAGCTCCTGGAATATCAAAATGTTTCTGTAAATGACCGTCAAACAAATCCAGGCAAAGCAATTTAAAAAAAATAGGGTTTCTATTTTAGTCCTAGATGCCTTGAGGCACCAATGTCTGAAACTGGAGTTTATTGATTTTAGCTTATATTTAATTAACAAATATAGTCAGTAATATTGAAAGAATAGATTTATTTTCTTGCTCTCTTTATTATTTAATACAAAATGACAGCTACTGCTTACATAGCTTGGAGATTATGCACATGACATATGGCCTGGAGGTTTTAGGTTTGAATTGTGGAAAAACAAAATTAACATCTGGTTGGTCAGCCTTTTGAATATCATTATTGAGACAGAGATATGTCTTAAGCGGGCCATAGACGGACCGCATGTTGCAGTCAAGACCGACTGCAACATGCGGTTTGATCAGGAACTGCTCGAGCGGTCCGTGTATTGCGAATATGAATTTAGTATGGAAACTGCAGATCGCCGTGCGGCGACCGCATGTTGCAGTCGGTCTTGACTGCAACATGCGGTCCGTCTATGGCCCGCTTTACTCATGCATTTGGGGTTTATGGAATTTCTACGGATACCAGATAATTTATTACTATTAACAGAGATTCTGTTCTCTATTTCCTTAACAGTAATATTTGCAAAGAAATAATAAGTGTAAAAAAATTATTTAATTTTCTTACATCTACACATATCTACAACGCAAGCGGTTAAACACACTTAATACATAATATACTACATTAAAAGCTACAACATAAATACTATGAGTTAGTTGCACTAACCTCCTCTATAGTTTTGCATTCCTATGTGTAAGCAGATGGAGGAGAATTTGCATTATTTAATTGTAATTATAATACATAATACTCTACACTGTTACAACAATTAAATATGTTGATATGTTTAAGGTATATATTGCTTAATGAAAAATGCAATGACACAAAGAGACAAGATTACAGACAAAAATTACCTCCACTTATAATAATAGAACTATTATCAAATTTTTTTTTTTCTGAAACATCAAAAAGATAAATTAACTTCCAAGTCTGCCGAACACTTAACTTTTAGGTACCGCCAGTCTGTAAACATCTCTTACCTTCTCTTTTCTCCTTAGATCCCTCAGAACCTCTTCAATTTCTATCCTCCATCCATCTTGCATTGTGTGAAAACTTTCGTGAGGTGCGCGAGTGAATTCTGATTGTCTGATCCGATCCAGCTGTTCCAGGATTTCAGGGAATAACGGCCGTTCTCGAGGGTTCGAATGCCAGCAGGCTGGAATACGAATGCAATAGATTGTAAATTATGTTGAGTATACATATTTTTTTAAATGCTTATTTTAATTATAAATACAAAATACTATGTCAAACAATATACTACAGGGATCTGATGCGGAGCAAAAGTTTGTATGAGAAGTCTTACAGCGCTCCTGGTGGCATAATTCTAAAACTTTTAAACAGATTTGACAACAGAGTTTGTACGTTAAACCAGGGATGTTATGGAGCTCCGTAACCGTAACTGAAACTATCGGATATCCGATATAAATATATATCCGTAACAGTTTCCGTTTCACAAGTTTCGGATAGTTTCGAATAAGTATAATAATAATAGGAGTCTAAAATCTACATAAAACTAAATTATTACATACTATTTGTATTTATATTTTACTTCAATTACATATCCGATATAATTTTATTTCTATATCCATATCCGTATCCAGAACCGAAATATCATATCCATAATATCTCTACGTTAAACTATGACAAACTTTTAATTTAACTACAGGTGTGAGTCAAGGCGCTGTTCTCTTCAGTAGCAAGTACCTCGTCTTTTCTTTCTATCCTATATACAAAAAGCTAAGTAAAACAAACTAATGTACTACCAAAGAGAAAAATGATGAAACATTTTCATCCCCTTACCTTCCATAAGCACCCTCCAAGGCTCGGGGCAGGTACTGGGTATGGGCAGCGTGAGTTTGTTGACGGCGACCCCATAAGCGACCGCTAACGCATCGATCCCTTTATAAGGTGTCTCACCCGTGAGTAGTTCCCAAAGCAGAACCCCATATGACCAGACGTCTGAAGCGTGGGAAAACGTCGAGTTCTTTATCACCTGGAAGTTTTGTTGAGGTTTGTTCAGTCCTAATTTTAAAGAAATATGGATACAAATATCAAATTTTATATAAAGATCGTAAAAAATAAATAATAATAAATCGCCGTTTTAAAAAACAATAAAAACATTCTATGATAATCCTTTCTCTCTTATATTTATATTAATGAAGTCATCTTTTTCTTTTAAAGTTTAATAAAAAAAAAAATTATAATCCATATTACTTGTTAGATAGCGATTAAAAAGAGTGGCGGAGAGTTTATTGCCAGTTCTTCTCTTCCGTTGACGCCCTTGATTTGAGAACTGGCAGTAAATGTATAATTAGAAGCATTTAATGTAGGTATATTTCTTTTTTGACGTTCATAAGTGTACATTGTGTAACCTATATGAATAAAGGAGTTTTGACTTTTTGACTAACCTCAGGTGGCATCCAGGCGTAAGTCCCCGCTGCAGACATTCTTGTCGTTTTGTAGACCTCCCGGGCAAGACCAAAGTCCGTAATCTTCAGAGTTTTGTTCTCTAACATGTCGTCTGTTAATATTGTCTCACTTAACAAAACTGAAATTGAAAAAAACAACCTCATTAAATTTAGACATTAATATAGGGATGCATCGATTTTTGCCGATACGATACCGATACTCTTATAGAAATATCGTCGATATCGATACCGTACCGATAATTCAACGCTTATTGAATTAAAATTAAATTAAAAAGCCAAAATACACCTTTATGTGGGTAAAGTAACAACATCACATTTAAGTTCATTTGCATTTCTAAAAAGTTAACATTAAATTAATTCTGCCAAATATAGTGTGTGAACGGAAACGGTAAACAACCCCAGTAGACCAGTCAGATAACCAAAAAAATACTTGGAATTAGATATGATTATTAAAAGTAAACAAATTTAATATAATAAGCGATTACGGTCGCCTTATTAAGGGGTCCGAAGTAAACAAAAAGTTTTGATTTGAAAAAAAATTATATCGTTTAACTTAATATTATCTTCAATACACTCAATAAACAACTATAAATAGTATGTCTAACGCAAGAACTCATCAGTACCAATCTAGTGGATATTATGAAAGATACAAGATGTATTTTTTTTTTCGAATTTTAATAAGAATTAGTAAAAAAAAGTCAATTTTATTATAAAACACAAAATAAATTATAATTCTGCAGGGGTTGAGCTTAGAGACCTCCCGACAATTTTTTGCAGCTGATGACCTCATCTATCCCCTATTTGCGTTTGATCCACGACTTTTTGGCCACCCTGTATATATACTCCCGAGCCGCGATAATTAAATCTAGAATAATTAAAGCTATAATAGACTTTTATATTGAAGTGTAATACTACTACTACGTTTAATCTGTATGCCACATAATTTATTTGATTGTGAGAGAAAGAAAGTCAATAACAGATCAGGAAGATCTTGGCGAAACTTTCGTGAAGTTCTGATATTCAATATTACTTTTAAAACTTAGTTTCACCGATTGCTGGTGTAACTACTTAACTGTTAAATAGAGTGGATTTATAAGATAAGGTGATATACATCTACTTACTTAAGCGTCAAAATTACACGTCTAATTATTAAAGTTATACTTCTTTAGGCGCGTTATGAAAAATTGATGAGAGTGAAATTTTACGATGCGCGCGCACCGTGACACAAAATTAACAGAATGAAGTTGCCCACGGAAGATGCTACGGCATTGGACATAATTTAAAAACAACATTCGAATAATAATAGAATATTGGTACACTTAATGTAAGAGAATAATAATAATAAATATTTATTTATTTAATGTTTCAAATGTAAACTGAACTTTATTGACTATAATGACTCCTTTTCCAGTCTTTGATTATTTAATTGTAATTAATTATTTTCATGCAATCAAAAACTATTTTTAATAATGCCAAAGAAGTATAACTTCTTACGCGCGTACATAAGTACACAAGTAAGTTAAAAATAAAAATAATTGTAGGCACAGTGTCAACTCTTTATAACGAATTTCAAGGGACCGAGCATTTTTCTTCGTTACTGAGTTTTCGTTATACGGACGGAAGAGAAAAGCACCAAATTGGTTAATTACAATAATTATATGTATACCTATATAATAGATAGGTGACAAGGGTGCGAACTGAGACCAAAATTTCCTACAGGCAATGTAATCTAAGAATAATGCACATGTGTTAATTCAATTAACAATAACAACGGCGAGAAGGCTGTTTATGACCTCAGGTGTCTTTCTTAGAAATTTCGGCACCTCAAAAGGTTAGTTTTGTGAGCTGATTATAAAAACAATTACACTTAAGTATGTTGTTGATGTCTAAATATGAAAATATTTCATTGTTACATAAATTCATTTAGATGCCTTCGTTACAAAGGACTGCTGAATACTAGTGCGTCCGATATCTGAAGATCAGGAAATAGGATTTAGTGAAACTGGTCCTAAGTCACGATTTCTAGGCACGTGGGTGGATCTCTACGTGACTCAAATCGTATACAGGGTATAGGTTACTTGGCTTCATAACTTTGTTTCGACGTTTCAATTGAAAAACTGAGTTGGCAAGTTCAGTGGGCAGTAAACTGAAAAGTTCAATTGTTTCCATCTAATTTTAAAATATTCTAAGCTTTTAAATAGGTATCTGCGTAATTGTACCCCTCTAGGTTTTAACGCCACGACAAGCGTACCGCAAGTATAACGCGTGGCGAAATAATAAAAAAAAACATACTTCCCCTTAAAAACATAACCCCTTTAGGTCTGGGCCTCAGATTTTTGAATCTGTTTCATGATCATTTTTCAATCTAATAGGTATGTAAGTAGGTGATCAGCCTCCTGTGCCTGACACACGCCGCGTCCGTCGACTTTTTGAATGTTTTCGCGACGAAAAATACATAAATAATAAATTTAAATAAAAAAAAAATATTTTAATTTTATGTGTGTAAGCTAAATGGTGTGTCGTGCTTTAATTAAAATCGAAATGGCCCGACACCATTTATTTTGATCCATTCAAGCCTTAAAGAATCAACTATTATTTTAACAAAAGTTTACTCGTTACAGCATAGATACTCAAACAATTAAATTTTTAAAGGCTAGAATCGCCCTCAGACCGAACAGACATTATGTCTTTATACATTTAACTTATTTAATGAATATGAAAGCTAGAAAATGTTATATCAAAAATTAAATGTAAAATACTAGACAAGTTAAGATATAAACCATACTTATTGATATTATGCCCATATTATAGGTGTACCCTTATAATATTTTCCCATAATACAAATAAAATAAAACGTTTACATAAGCGTTCCATTAAAATTTGCATCGCCGTTGTTTGCTAGAAAATAGAATTTTCTACGCGAGTTGACTGTTAAATAAACAAGTAAATTGTATAGTGGAATCGATTTCCCACATCTAGGTCAATTCGCTGTGTCCAAAGTCTAGACCAAAAGATAGCGTTCAACGTGCCTAACAGGCTCTTAGCCAACGATTAAGCTTTTGTGAAAGCTATGAAAAAAAGTTTATTTCTTGAAAAGGTTTTAATAAATACTATCCCTAAATAACTAAATAGATTTTGACTTTAATTCGGCAGGTTCTCTTGCACGTGATGATTTTGTTTAAACTCAAAATTAATCAATCGAAAGAAAAGAAAAAAAAATTGAACTGGAATATTTACGTTTCATTATTTAAATACATATCTGACGAGCGATCTTAAAACGTCGGGTATTATTAATAATTATTTATGGTTTCAAACAACGTTTCATTAACTTATCTTTTAAAATCTATATAATTTTATTATTGACAGGTTTGGCAACTTATCGGAATTATATAAAGCTATATAGCATGTAAGACGGTTCAGTTTTGAAACTAAATCACCAAGTTCGCGTTAATTTACTTTGCAAAGATTTAATAGTTAGCTTCGGGACTTCATGATGAAAGTGAAGTGTGTGCATATAATTCTATAAATGATTATGTCCTACTTCAAGAATACTATTTCATTTCATTTCATATCTTAATACATATAAATTACGTGTCACGTTGTTTGTCCGCTATGGAGCTTACATCTCAATTTATACCCGCAATATTATTTTATTGCAAATTATTTGTTAATTATTTGATAGTCACAATTCTCACAGATGGCGCTGTGTTGAAAGTACCAACGTTTCACATAAGCTACAATTTAATGGCATCACCACCAAAAAAGCATGGTGGTCCCCATGACTAGTACTTATATATATATAAATAACTTTAATTCATATTTTTGTAACAACCTTTGTTTTCATAGATTTCATAGTAAATCTTGTGACGTTCCTGAAAGCAAAATGAAATCTTTGCGTATTTAAAACAATAATATATAGTTGTATTTAAAACAAACGCGGACCGATTTAAACATAAACAAGTGAAACACTTAAAATATAAAAATAAAACGATTTTTTAATTTAAGCCGTCACAATTCCGAGCCTTTCTCGCTAAAAGCGTTCCGATGGTTATTACAGCTGCCATAAACGGATGGAACAAGATGTCTTGACGAAATTGTATGCGAATTTATGTTCATTTCTTCAAATGAGAATTATCGAATCATCATAAAGATAATTGGATATGTAATCATTGTTGCCATTTTAGATTTTTGGAAATGTTACTAGGACGGCTCTTTTAAAGATTTTCCTATATCTTTCAATGGCTTTAAAATACTGTGTGATAAAGTGCTGGCTATAATTTATAACTAAATTATCTACTAAAATCAGTGGCGCTACAACCTTTTTAGGTCTGGGCCTCAGATTTCTGTATCTGTTTTATGACCATTAGCCTCCTGTGCCTGACGCACGCCGTCGACTTTTTTTGGGTCTAAGGTAAGCCGGTTTCGTCACGATGTTTTCCTTCACGGTTCGAGCGAATGTTAAATGCGCACATAGAAAGAAAGTCCATTGGTGCACAGCCGAGGGTCGAACCTACGACCTCAGGGAGGAGAGTCGCACGCTGAAGCCACTAGGCCAACACTGCTCTTAGTTTAATATTACTAGTAATATAATAATAAATTATTATTAAACATAATTAACATTTTGCGTGCTATCAAATACACGTTCACTACAGATACAAACATATTCTCGCTATGATATCACAAGATTATAATTGACACAGAACCCTTTACCTTATAGGTATTCATATATCTTTAATTGTTACAAAATCTCTGAACAATCACATCGAGCCGACATTTCGAGGCGCCGTTTGTTTGACATTGATGGACATTTGAATCGAACCCACGACCACGTATGATAATGCCAACGTGATACTTCGGATAAAGGCCTCAAATCTTGTGTTTGTGAGCAAGAAGTTTACATTAACTATCCGCGTGTCAAACATCAGTTACGTTTAAGCCTTTACATTGTAAAACGCTTTATGCATTGTTGTTACTGAACTACTTTTACTATTCTAAAGCCTCGAAAAATTCTAATTTGGGATTCAGATAATTTTATAGTAAAGTTGTTTTTTATTATTTTCAATCACTAATGCGTACAAAGTCATAGAAGGAAGATATTATATAATATACTATTTAACTATTTATTAAGGAAGTGAACTTAATTCCACTTCCTTAATAGTATTACATATATGGAATAATAATTTATATCGTACATAAATATATTAGTCTTTATACCTTTGGAAGTAGGAAAATGACTGCTCTTCTCACATATTTTTAGCCCGTTACAAAGTTGTCTGTATATTCATCTTTTATTCATATATACACGGGTTTGAACTAAAATAATGAAATTCAC